ATTCTAACCAGATGGTTGTTGGCTGAGAGTATTCCATCCCGAGGATGATTGGACTGGTAGTATGTGGACATTCAAACCCGATGTTGAGGGCCTTGGGTATTCCATCCCGATTGATGATTGGACCCATAGTATTTTGTTTGTTATTGTATGTGTATTGTTGTGTGTGTGTGGGTATTTTGGGGGCAACTCACTAAGACTTCGAGCTTATTGTTTCATATTATTGTTTCAAGTTATACGAATGACCTCGGGAAGGAGAAGGCGTGACCGTACACTTCTTCGTTTGATGATTTTGATTTCTGGGAACTCTGATGTTTAAACTATTTTGAAAACAAATTGTATAACTGAATGGTTTTAAATGATTTAAAGATTTAAATTTGGCATGAGTTTTACGGGTGTTGCAATTTGATTTTGAGTCGAAATCAGATGGTAAATAGCTTTGGAGTCGAACGCCTTGAAATCAATACTCAAATTCGACTGGTACGATTTGAAGTTGGAATCGCAATCGATTTGGAGTCGATTTCGATTGGTGGATTTAAGTCATCTTGGGATTGAAGGCTGTAATCGAAAGTAGTCTCATAGTGTAACACCATATTTTGAATCATTCTCAATTGGAGGCGGCTGATGTGAGTTGATGAAAGCGTAGAGCTTCTTGTTCGGGTTTATGGAAATTGGATTCTTGTTCGGTAAATTTTATGGCAGGTATGAGTTGATGAAAGCGTAGAGCTTCTTGTTACCTTCTCATGGATATAAGGATTGTCAAAATTGGATTTGTAACGAAGAAGTTTATGGCCTTTAGAGTGTTTTAGGGTTTAAGAGGAAACTCTAGTACGTAGGGATTACCTAGGGAGTATGTGGGGCGTACTGCTGCGGATGATAGTATGCGAGGTGTAATGTGGTGTTCGCTTAGCATACTGCGAATGGTAGACCAGGAGTGCCAGGCCTTGTACACTAGGCATACGAGGAGTACACAGGTCGTACAAGGAGATAGTGGAAACCCTATTTTAGGGTGTTACACTCTATATAAACACCTTAAGCCGTTAGGGTTGGCCTCTTTACAAGCCTCCAAGCCCCAAAACCCTAGAAATCATCCTTTAGCATCCATTGATGTGCATTTGAGCTGTTGGGGAGAATTAGGTGTTATTTTGATAATTTTTTAAAGAGATTGAAGAAGGAGGAAGGTTCATAGCTTGGTGGGGAATTTAGAGATCGAGAATCATTCATCACTTTGCAAGCTCCTAGAGGTATCAAGTTCAGACCTTGACTTGTTAATGCATAGATCTCTTATTGTCTTGATTTTCATGCTTTCGGGTCCCTTTTTGGGTTGATAGATGAGTTAAAGTTTTTTGAAGGACTTATTCTTTTGGATTTGAGTTGTTATGAGGTTCTTATACATAAATGTGCAAAATTTATGAGGTTTAAGGTTACATGCATGTGTTAAGTCATCTAATAAGTCCTTTTGAGATTTACGAGCTCCATTTAGTCATGCATGAACATAAAGTTAGCAACTTTACATGATTATCCAGCTCAAGGAAGTCAGATTTATGTTTAGGATCAATTTCTTCAGGGATTAAGGGTTGAAGGTTTTGAAAGGTGGTTATTCAGGAGGAGTACAATGGGCATACAAGCCTGTATGCGCAGCCTACAAGCCCTAAAGCATGTACGATTAGCGTACAGCTGAGTACACCCCGGAATTCAGCATAGTGGGCCTCAGATCTTTGGTCTTTGGTTTAAGCCATGCTTTAGGCTTAGATGTTTAGGACTTTGTTGGGCCATCTAATTTTTGGTGTTTTGGGTTGGGTATATTTTTGGGCCTTGAGTTAAGGCACATGGAATGGATTTAGGCCTAATTTTGAAAATTGTGCCATGTTTGGACCTTGGGTGTTTATTTGAAATTGGGATTTTGAATTGTTGGATTGGGACTTGGCCTTAGGCCACGTTATGAGAGGGTAAAAGACTAGTTCAAACTTTTTGTAGGAGTTGGCATCCTAATATTTCTTTGGTTTATATTTTGTGATTATAGCATGAGGATTTTAACGGGCTAGTAGCCAAATATATATCTACGGGATTCAGAAGTGCAAGGTGAGTTTCCTCACTGGGTTTAGCTGGTTGAAGGCACCAATGTCGGCCCATGATTTATATGTTAGGATGCTATATGTCTGCATGACTCTTGCATGTTTTATGAGATGATATGCTTACCAGGCAAGGCTCGATGCCAGGCAGGGACTGATGAATTTATTGTATGCTAGTTATCAGTATGTGTTTTTATGCTTACCAGGCGAGTCCTGATGCTGAGCGGGGTTCGATGACTGTATGGATTGCTATGGTCTTTGTGATTATTGCATGTGCTAGTAAGATTATATGTTTATATGATTATATGGTTATATGATTATGTGTATATCACACAGGGCCTGGTGATTGACAAATCTGTAATCCGAGCAGGGCTCGATGCCGGGCGGGGCTTGATGTCGAGCGGGGGCCTAATATTTGATTTATGTATGTGTGGTATCTAGTATTTTGGGGAACTCACTAATATTTGTGCTTATGGTTTCCATTTTATGTTTCAGGTGCTTCGGTTTTCAAATGAAAGAGCTCGGGATGATTGCAAAGCACACACCACATATCTCCGCACTCTGTGATTTACTCCGATATGATGATGTTTTCATATATCTTGATTATTTGGTTATTGGAAATGATATATATTAACGATTTATTAATTTAAAAACGAAAATTTTATTGTATTATTTTTGGGTTGTTTCACATAGGAATCGAAATCGACTGGTGAATGCGAATTCAACTGGTGATGCTTGTTTGTTCGCATCTAGAGAACTACTTTTGCCTACTGTTGCTTGGAGTCGATTGTCTTCAGGTTTCAATTGAATTCGCATCTGAGAACGTATCTTAAGGTTAATAGTCAAAACAATTTGGAGTTGGAGTTTAAATTCTCGATCATAAGTCGAACACATATGGAGTAGATTGTGAGTCGAGATTGAACGCTGGGGTCGAATTCGATTGAAGATGTTCCGTTCGCATCGTATGATCGAATTGGGGAAGAAAGAGAACTTTTCGATTCGAGTGCTCGCTCTTTCAACGAATTGGCAGAAAATACCATATTTCGTATTGGTGCACTTTTCTATGAAGAAGGACTTAGTTTCAACATTGGGGTAAAGTTCTATGAAGTGGGAAAAAACTTTCATTTTAAGTCCCTATAGTTGATGTGAATTGTCACTTTATGCCCACTTTCACATTTGGCGTAAAGTTTCGCATTTGAAGTTGTTTTGACGCAACAGGTCCTTGCAAAATTGACAGTTTATACCTAGTTTTCAAAATTCTTGCAACTCTAACCCAAAAGTAAAAAATTTTCACAAAATTTGGAAAAATTTCTCGGCTTTTCGTGATTGTTTTTTGTGCAAGATTTTTGCGGTTGCATTTTTGTCACACATCGAGGGGGAGTTTCGCCAAGTTTATTCCTCGAGCTCTTCTTATCCTTTATGGGTTTTATAATCATTTGTTGATTATAAAAAGAGGTAGAATGTAGAAATGGGTATTTGAAGCTTCTCGGCTATTCCGTTTCAAAGCGAATTTGAAGATCGGTGTTACTTCGAGGGGGAGTTGGTCTTGATCGCGCACAAGCTTGTTTGGAAATTGAAGTCGGGACATCCAATCTTAACTTTGAGGGGGAGAATTTTAGGGTGCAAAGTTCTCATTGGATGTGGCTTACTATCTTGTGATGTGTAATGGGTTTAACATTTCCTATAAATAGGAAGTAAGTGGCTCTCATTTTAAGAAAAAACCCATTTTGGAGAGATTAGTTTAGTTAGAGAAATTAATAATACCCACTTGTACTCTTACTATTCTAATGGAGCTTAAAATGATTTTATTTACACTTGGTGTTCTTGATGATTGATTGATTCACTTGATCTTTACTATTCCACATATGTCATCATAATCCGGGTCACTACAAATATGAACTTCACATTCTATTAATAAAATGAGATTTTACTACTAGAAAAACAGCCTTTTACGACGCTCATTGCGCGTCGTAAAAGGCTCAGACGACGCACAAATGCGCGTCAAGGAAGGACCTGTCATAAAGAGAGACGACGCGCATTTACGACGCTCATTACGACGTGCAATTACGACGCGCGTAGACGACACGCAATGCGTATCAAGGAAGGCCCTGTCATAAAGGAAGACGACACACATTCGCGTGTTGTAACCTTACGACGCGCGTGTTAATGACACGCAATGCGTATCAAGAAAGCCCCTGTCAAGAAAGGCCATGTCATAAATGAAGATGACTCACATTTTTGCGTATCATAATTTTAAATGTTTAAAAAAAATATTATTTATAGATTTACTAATTTTCAAATTAAATAATACATAAAAATCTCATAATATAAAATAAAATACCATAAATAACAAAGATAATTCATTTCACTAATATGTAAAATACAAATAATTATTCCAATAGTGAGTAAATGTTATAAAAAAATGAACTCATTTATATACAATTGCATCATCTACATTACTATGTGCCAACAACTCTCTGTGTGTTTACTTTTGCTTGAGTCTCGTTACCTCCAAAGCTTTTAGCCATGCAAAAATATGATATCTTGAGTCTCGTTTCAAGAACCAACATCACCTTCAATCACCCAATTAAACTCTAATGTTGGTAGACTGAGAGTTCCAGAATCAAGTTTACATCCATCACCTTCAGTCACCCAATATTCAAGGGCAAAGTTGGAATTATACCTATGATTTTGCAGTGGATGGGTCTACCAAGAGCAAAACACTAATATCACCCATCAATCTTACACCATCCGGTAAGGTCTGTAGAAATAGAGGAAATGAGCTCCTAAATAATTAAGTAAAGACAACAATATTCAAGGGCAAAGTTGGAATTATACCTTCCTTGATCCTCCAAACAGGAGACAAGACACAACTTTTTTAACATCCTCATGGCCAAATATGGAAGGGGCAATCTTGTATTCAAAATGTATTCAAAACAGAAAAAAGATTGCAGATTTAGCTATAAGCCCTGTAACATTTCCAACCCAAGAAAGATCCGAAAAATCTCTTTTGACCTCATTCCCATCGGTGAACCCTGCTACGTCAGCAAATGGTAAGCTCACAGCCACATCCCCATAACAGTAGCATCAAGTTGGTATTATTGGAATAACTGGAAAAAATAGAAGTTTCCAGATAACATTGTCAAGGCATACAACATATTTAATTTCAAGAATCATGTAACTAAGAACAGACCTGATAACTGTGAAGAGTGAAAAGGAGCCATTATAGGGCTTAATAGATTCTCATCTTGTCCAGTTGGGCTAACAGTCGCCACATCATCTTTACATACATCAAAATATCCCCTGAATTCATGTTAACAAACATGTTATTGAATCTCACATGATATAATAAAAACGATGTGAACAGACATGTGTGTGAGAAGTTGAAGATCTTAAAAACTAGAAAGGGTATGAAAATTCAGCAGCACAGACATGTGTGTGAGTAGTTGAAGATCTTAAAAACTAAATATAAAACCATTTCATAAAATAATTATGTTAATAAAAGTTTTTGATATTTAACCTTTTTATACAAAGTTGGAAGATCCGACTCCTCAAATGGAAAATAATTATATGTTTACTTTTGTGGGAGTACATTGAGTCCAAAATCTGAAACTTTTAGCCTTTCTTTGGAATCAAGAAGGTGATTTTCAGGCTATATGTATATTACAAGAGCACCGTTAGTAGAAAATAAAGCATTTAATATATAAATCATTACACCTTAAATGATTGCAGTTTGAGCAAACTAAAGTAATTTTAGTAGCCCAATGATTGCGGTTTGAGCAAACTAAAGTAATTCTTCCCTCCTTACCTGAAACAAGTTGTGGGGCATACAAAAATCAACCCTTTAGATTCTCTGGCATCAGGTTAGTTTCTTGAACACTCACCAAGCACATGATCCATCATCAGGGGCACAAATTACTATCCAATTTGTTCCAAGTCCAGTGGCAACACTTGTATTTGTCTGCAGAAAATAAAGATTGTATTAATAAAAATGAAAAAGAGTCGATTAAATATTATATTCAGTAGTATAAGAACGAACCTTCAATAAGTTAAGCACAATCCTAATGACATCTTGATCTTTCAATAAATCCATATTTCCGTGTGCATATCCTATAATTTCCACCCATTGCTGCATAACTCAAACTTATCATAAGACAATATATTAAGAAATCAAAATTAAGAATTATCCTTCAAAGTATGTTGCTATATCTTTCATATACCTTCCGCTGTAAAGAAATACAAGCAGATTATCAAAAAATGCAGCTTTATAAAATCCTTTAACGCGTTGTGCTATAAACCATAATCTACGAGCTAGTGACCTCTGCCCACATAAAAAACAATATCAAGAAGGAGATATATATATATATATATATATATATATATATATATATATATATATATATATAGAGAGAGAGAGAGAGAGAGAGAGGAAAAAAAACTTGATGTTAATTCTTTAATTTCATCATCAAAAAAATTAAGTTTTTTTAATTAAAATATGTTGATATTGAATGTTAGATACCTGTTCAGAATCACCCCACTAGCGGAAAGCAGAAAAGGATTGCAAACGAGTTCAAATATATTGGCCACCAATTGTAGCAACACAGTACCATATTTTCTGATAAACTGTGAGCCCAGGTCCCTCTAACCCTGTTCTAACTAGAAGAATGAAGATGGAAACCATAAGATAAAGCTTCATTTCATGTTTCATGTTGTGTAATTGATTTAAAAAGCTTACGTTTTGCTCTTGTTTCCATGGTGAGTTCATCTCCGTATCGTAGATTCATGAGAGCATATCCTAGAGTAGGTTTATGAACCCAAATTGAGAACCTCCAGATAAGAAACTCAAGGAAAGCATCAAGTTCTACTTCGTATTGAAATAATAATCCTGGATAATCACAAAAAGGAAAGAAGAGGAACACAATTAATCTCCAATGAACGTGACCGATTAGTGTAAAAAAGCATCTAATTGTGCTTAATTAGATGAAGTTGACCAGTAGAAAGAAAGAAATCCTTGAGGAACTCATGCTTATAGCACCTGAAATAATAGACACATTCATCAAAAAAAAATCTTCATATTCTCATATGAAATTAAATAGAAAAACTTATATAGCCTTTACCTTGCATAACGTATGAATAGATTCATCAAAATTACCATAGATTAGTTTCTTCATAGGATTGATACATTTGGGCAATTCCATCAAGGTCAAATGTCCAAGAATAGGCAGACGAAGACGAATCAGAAGGGTTTGTCTTCCGAAGATTGGTAACCACCCACTACAATGAGAAAGAAAAATAGTAAATGAAAATGAAAATAGATTTATTATTTGTCTTATAAAAAAAAGATTTACCTGAGCCACTTCATTCAAAAACCCCTCACGCATAAGACCACTGATGACCTCCATTTTTGATATGACCTTCCTTGAAAAAGGATAATAGAAAAATTAAGTTTGTAAAAGTTTAACAAGAATCCTATATATGAGATACATCAAGATTGCATATGAAAGTGAATATGTGAGATCATGGGACAATATACAGTTAGATATTTATAAAATAACCAAAAAAAAGTCGTTACTCTTTATGCAACACAAAACACACCTGGTTAGGCAATGCTCTTAGAAAAATGATCAATTCAGCAGGATGATCATCTCCGTCTCTACCTGCACGTACCTTTCCAGGTGTAGCATCTAAAACCCAAACCTTAAAAATAATAACATCTTATAATATTATTTATCCAGACACCACTTAATGACAAGAAACAAAACAGGGCCTTACTCTTACAGGCCTTGCAAGTGGCTTTGCAGCTTGTTCGACCATGCTCAGTGCAACTGGATCATAATAATAAGTATGAAAACAAAGGAAAGAGAGCACTAGTATAGTTTTAACTTCCATTTTGCCCAATAGCTTTACAAACCTGATAATTATACACAAGTGAAATCCAAATCAAAATCTAAAAACACGAACTCAACTCAATCTAGATACAGAATACTTGAAACAAAGCTTAAGAAGTTTCGATGACAAAAGGCAAAAAGGAAGATCACTTACAGCTGCAACAGATTTGTTGTCAGGGTGATCTTCTTTGAACTGCTTTCTAAAGTCCTCCCTTCATAACATTAACAAGAGGAAAAATATTTAAACTTCGGAAATGGAAGTAAAACATGAAGGTAGTGATAAACGAAGAACAACTACTAAAATGAACACAAAGAAGGCGCTAGCGGGTCTCTTGGGTTTATTGGGATCCTTAGCTGCTTTCCCCTTGGCTGCAGTCTTCTTTACAGCCAACCTAAAATTACAACAAACAATTGCTAAAAAGTACCGAAATCATGATCCTGAGGAAGAAAAAAAACCTAATTTCATTGAAGATGAAAAAAATACAACATTAAACCCTAGCAGATGGTATGTTTTAAACATAGTTAGATTAAATCGTACTTGGTATCGGCTTTCCTTGTAGCACCGCTTGATTTTCCTCCTTTCATCGTTTGATCCTGAATGAAACAACCGAAACAACAAACTAGGTCAAAAATCGAAGCGAAAATGGTTGTAAATGAAAAAAATTAGAGTCGACATCGAGGAAAAAGAGGAAGAAAACATACCTAGTTAGCAAAAAATCTAGGGTTAGGGTTTGATTCGTTTGCGATTGGGGGATACTGGGGGTAAGGAAATCGACATATAAATGGCTACAATACGTCGGCAATAGAACTATTTGGGCGGGAAGATTTTCATTCCAAGAGGGCTTGATTATGTTCATGATTTTGGGCCCATTTTGGATAAAACAATGGGGCTTCATTGGTGGCGGTGGTGAACCAGAGAGAAGACGAGGGGTGGTGGGTGCCTAGTTTGTTGTTGAACAGTAGGGGTAGAGAGAGATAGATAGAGAGAGAGAGAGAGAGAGAGAGACTTAAAGTTGGTCGTGTATTACCTGCATCAAATTGAAATTAAGGGAATGTTGATAGGGTGGAGGTGGTGAATGAGATGTTTGGTGATACTGATAAGAAGGAGATCGAGTAGAGATCCGATGAACGAGATGTTTGATGATACTGAAGATGAAGATGAAGGACCTAGGGCTTTTTCTTGCTAAGTAGAAGAGGCGGGGGGATTAATTTTGGGATTCAATAGGCGGGGGTAATTTTCGTCGATTTCATTTCCCGCCTAAAACGCGTGTTTCACTTAAAATTATAAAGCGACACATTCACATGACGCACAATTTATGAAAGGTGCCCTCCGCATTTCTTTTTTTTTTCATTTCTGACACTAATCTTAGGGCGCGTAAAAATGCGTGCCCTCTATCCTTCAAATTTTGCAAAACTGACATTATCTTTTAGGGCACTTACAAATGCGCGTCGTCTATCAGCGAGTGTCATTGTTTGCGCGTCATTAAAGGGCTATTTTCTTGTATATTTTATACTTGTATTTAGAATACTGTTAGATTAACCGTTATAACTATCAAACCCTTTCAGTAACTCCATTCTCAAAATACAATAAGGTGGTGAGGGTTGTAAGCCCGAAGCATATTAAAAACCAACCTCAATAGGAATCATAGAGGCCTCATTAAACCCCTATATTAGAATGAGCGAGCCTAGTCACAGTAAGACTGATAATGTCAATATTAAAAACATACCACTACTAGAAAAACAGCCTTTTACGACGCTCATTGCGCGTCGTAAAGGGCTCAGACGACGCGCAAATGCACGTCAAGGAAGGCCCTGTCATAAAGAGCGACGACACGCTTTTGCGCGTCGTCTATAGACGACGCGCATTTACGACGCTCATTTACGACGCGCAATTACGACGTGTGTTTACGACACGCAATGCGTATCAAGAAAGGCCATGTCATAAAGAAAGACGACACGCATTCGCGTGTCGTAACCTTACGATGCACGTGTTAATGACATGCAATGCGTATCAAGAAAGCCCCTGTCAAGAAAGGCCATGTCATAAATGAAGATGACACACATTTTTGCGTATCATAATTTTAAATTTAAAAAAAAAAAAATATTATTTATAGATTTATTAATTCTCAAATTAAATTTGTATTTAATGTCTCATAATAGAAAATAAAATATCATATACAAAAAATACAATCCATTGCATCAAATTTAATGTCATACAAATAATCGTTCCATGGAAAGATAAAACAAATCAATAGTTGTAGCAAAAATCTACAAACTAATTAGATACAAGAAATATAAAAAAATATACCCTTAAATGCTTTTCAAAGTCTAATCTCCAAGTCAGTTCTTCAACTCACTTCTCCAGTTTGTCCTTAGGTTCTCTAAGGGCTCCATCATCTCTTGTAGTTTCAAAGGCTCATAGAAGCTATGAACTTGCTTTATTAAAGTCTTTCTTCAGCTGCAAAACCCTCCATCATATATATAGAGTCTCCTTCCAATGCTTCCTTGGCTACAATAGTTGTCTGAACATCTAAAATTTATAATTTTTTTTTAACATTTTACAAAATTATATTATATATAATAAGCTTCTCAACAACTGCAAAACAAAAGAAAAGAAGGTTAACTAGTTAAAGGTAAAACAAAGCAGAAGTTATTCAACATCTATAAATAATTAAACACAAATAAAATTTTTACTTGAATCATAAGTTAAAAATTTTAAAATAGACTTGACCTCTAGGCCGTGGTGAGGAAACATTAGCATTAATTTTTTTTTTATCATTTTGCTTAGTAAGCTTATTTAAACTTTAATGAATGGATTGAAAATGAATTCGTTGCTTTCTTTCATATTGATCAAAAACTACCTCAATAGATCTGGAATTAAATTACCTTGTAATAGAGGAAGTTGACTAATGCCTTCTTTCATATTCATTAGCAAAAATAAACTTCCATCTTGATAGAACAAGGGGATACCAACAATTTGAAAAAGAATATGATCATAAGATGTAAAAAAAAAACCATCAAATATGGTCATCAAGATACCTGGATCATGATATTTAGCACCCAACAAACCTAGATTGACAGAATAGGCAGCTGGAAACAATCCAGGATGGACAAGGCTTAATTCGTGTAGGAGCTTTCTTAGACCTATCAGCAACATAACAAGACAAAAGATTCTTATTATCAACAAAGGATAGAATACCAATGATGTCGGCTAGAAAAGAAAATGATTCTAAAATTTATAGAAAAACCAGCACAATGATCACAAGGACTGGACCATGGTGTTTGGAACACAACAAACCTACATACACAAAACATAATTTTAGTATTTCTAGAACCTATTAAGGATACCATTCATTGTAAGAACTAGAAAAGGATGAAAAGTTTCTAGGAAATCATATGGACTTACAGAGCTGCAAGGGTGAAAAGTTTCTTTCTGCAAATTACACCACACATTTCCGAAATAAATAAACCTCATCTTTTCAGAAAGTTTCATGTGAAACTGGCATGAGGCTTTTACCTTTTTCCATGAAATGATCACTGAATTAAGGATTTCCAAAAGAAGTCACATAGGAAAAAAGGTCCAATCCAAACCTAACAGCAAGAAAACAAGACAAAAAAGTTTTCATCATGACTCAAACTGATCCAATATGTCAAGATATAGACAAGAAAAAAAAAGCAATTATGCAACTAAAAGCCTCATAGATAATGATTAAGCCTTGCAAACTAGCCTGGACAATAAGGCGATTATACACCAATGAAACGCCATAGCACTAATCTGCAGGACTTCCATCACAGAATAACACATAAAGCTGAAACAGGGTTTGTAATTTTCACTTCAAAAAAGCTTTACCGAAGGTATCCTCTTCACAATTGTTTTTACAAAATCAGGATTACACAAAGGGATTGACAGAAGAGACCTAGCTGGAAACAAGCCAGAATGAAGAAGGCCTATTCGCCTTGGAGCTTTTTTAGACCTATCAGCAAGAGAACAAGACAAAGATTTTTATTATCAACAAAGGATGGATTGCCAATAATCTTAACTAGAAGAGAAATGATCTTAAAAATTATAGCAAAACCAAAAAATGATCACAAGGCACTGGACCATGGTGTTTGGCACACAACAACAAACCTACATACACAAAACATGATTTTAGTATTTCTGGAACCTATAAGGAAACTAGAATGTTTAGAGAGAATGTTTAGCATGTATGAATACAGGTGTAACAAACTGTGACCTGAACTACACGAAGCAATCAAATCATTGTATTAAGATCTTCTTGGTCAACTAGAGGGGCTCCATCAGTTTCAACAGGCTTACTTCCACTTGACCTATAGGTAATGATCCCACCACTTCTATCCATGTTGGATCCATCTCCTTCCCCTCTTCTAGAAGACTCATCCCTCCTACTTCTTGGGAACATACCAAATAGTGTCCGATATAACGACGTGCAAACCTCTCTCGCAACATATTTACCTTCGCAACAAGAGCAGGTGTCAGATTAGCAAGAACCGCATCAGATGATGTTAAAAGAACCTAAACATATAAACAAATATCAACCAATCAAATAGATGATTAAAAAGAAACTAAAAGTACAAACATACCTCTTCCCTTAGTTCTTAAGGGAATGTGCCTATTATGGATACAGTATCTATCTCCATGGGTTGACCTTCTAATTCTTGGGCTCGGTGAGCCCCTTATGCTTGTTGCTGTGCCAAAACTTCTACCCGAATGTCTGGAGGAAGTGCTGCAAGGAACTCAGGGTCTATGTCTCCATCATTTTGTGGTTCGATGGTTGCAGGTGGCTGTGGCGCCACCAGTCCCTGTCGGCCTGAAAGAACCTCATCACGTAACTCTTCGGGAAGTGTATCCAAAAATGCAGGGTCGATTGGTGCAAAACCAGCAGCATCACGTGGTGTATCCTCCACTTTGGTATGTTTATTGACAAACCAGGTGATTCTTAGGACTCATTTTTCGTCTGCTGACCCTCCTCCAGTTTTTCTTGATCAAAGGGATTCTCAGGAGTTGGACGCCTGAAATGAGAAACCAACAAATGTTCAAGGCCTACAGGGATGCTGGATGCATTAGACCCACCACTTTGCTGGTCATCATTCCACATGCTAAGATAGTGTCTATGTTGTCCATGGCGGGCGTTCCTCAAAGACCATTATCTACAAACAAAAAAACCAAAAACCAACTTAGTTAGTAGACAATACCTTATTTCTTGTTAGTATCTCTTCAGCATCATCATTCCCTACACATACATTACTGTTTTTTTATAACAATGTTCTTGATATGAAATGACGCATGAGTTGCAATAGTTTACCAATTCCCAAGTTATCTTCAGCTCCAGTAAAACAAGATCGGGCTGCATAAAGAAAATGTTCTATTAGATTAGCATACAAACAAGAAGATGCAACTATCAAAAATCAAGGACATACATGTATCTGTGTTGCCCTGAACAAGCTCTATAAGCCATTTTAATGCTCTGCTATCACTGAAGAAGTGTCATCCAATATAGGGAACCATAGCTAGATATTTATGTACCCAAAGAACATAGAGAGTTTATGTATTTGAATTTTGGATAAAAGATTGAAGCACAAACACAAACAGACAGTGCTTACGTCTCCTAATTCAAAATAAAGTCCTGGAAGAGCTTCCATAGTAGCTACTAAACCAAATCATAGAAATAAAAATGAACTTCGTAAATTTTTGACACTTAATTGATCAATCTGGGATACATGAAATGCATTCGGTGTTTCTTTGCATTACCTATAAGAGGGAAAGAAGAAACTTTTAGGTCCTTAATGGTATTTAATTTCTCAAGAGCTTCAAGAAAATTGCCTCTATGAATAGAAAAAAGCAACAGGTTAAATGGATGACTTCAATTTAAATGCTTCTACTCAGATAATTGAAGTAACACTCCCAGTGTGAAAAGGAGTATGGATTAAGAAAGGAAAAAAAATTACCTCTCAGACAAAAGGGTCGACATCGCAAGAAGAACCAATCCCTTCGAATTACCATCATGCTGATTGGATTCGCACTTTCTAGCACCAACAAACCTCGCCCCTGGCTAAATTTTCTTAAACAGAAAAAGTAGTTATTTACAAATAATAAAACTATTGAAATGATTTTTTCATTATTTTATTTATTTATTTAATTGTCAAGGTTTGTTTCCTTGCAGCCAATTTTGTTTTGCCTAAGAGCAAGGATATGCATGGGACTGATGAGCATTTTGATAAGGTGACTTTGTTTTTACATTTTAAAAACATAATCCTTGGCCCGGTGATAAGGCCTTGAACTTTGTCATATGATTTTGGTTCTAAGTTTAAAAAAATTACAATTTTACCTTCAAAACAGATAAATTTGCAGAAATTTGATCTAAAGACTTGTTATTTTGTTCAAGAAGCATCCCTATCTCACCACCAATAACTGTAACCAACAGCTAAACTTGTTAAGAATGAAAATCCAAAATCCAAAAGTAGCATCAAAGACATATAATCTGGGTTAAAGTTGAAGAAACAAATTTAAATTTTTAAAAAATTTTATTATGTTTTATTTTAAGTTTTCATTTCCTTAATTAAATTAAAATAGAAGACAGAAAATAAATTAGAAAGGTAAGAAAGTTTGTCACTTTAAGTTGTTCATATCCAAACCTTTCAATCTTTCATACAACATACAAGAATGTGAAGAATTGATGGCCAAGGGCATAACGGAAACAGGGCGAGGATTTGATCTTCCTAGGAGAAGATTAGGAGGTATTCTCATCAACAACAAACTCCATCATCACTCTGCCAGAAAGCCTTATCAGCTGCACAAAATAGAGCTCAGATGGGGACATTGTTGCCTTCTGGAACTGAAAAGTCCACTCTTTCCCCTTTATGTCCTCAATTCTTATTTGTAAACCTTCTGATTGATTAATAGGAGAGAAATACGCCTGTACAAATATAAAATATTTCAGTCATAAAGTTAGACCATGGAACAAGATAGAAAAAAGAAAAACCAACCGCTTAATTCTACCCGCATCACTCGCACTTAGAACCTTCTCAAATAATAGAGTAATAGTGCAATTGGAATTCAAGCTGGAAGATATAGTTAAGAAAATAACAACTTGTTTTCTTTCACATATATGATATTATAATGGTTGAAGATGAGAAATGAGTATAAAAAAATAAGGATACTCCCCAAATATTTGTAATAGTTCTTGATCAATTATCTTTGGCCAGTACCTCAATAGTAACTGATTCCGACCTCTACCTTCAGCACGTGGTCTAGCAACTCTTTTTTCCGAAATTGCCCCTTTGTTTAGTAGTGGTGGTCAATGCATTATTACCAAGAGAATAACTTAAAGATGGTTGAAGAGGGATTGCTTCATATAATGCTTTCAAACCTAAATCTGTTATGCTATTATTATGATGATCTGGTGCACTTTATATATTTTAAATAATGTTAGTGAAATTTCTTATTAAAAAAGAGTTAAAACAGAATTAAAACTCAAAAAATCTTATAAAAAAGAATGTACATATTCTTCCATGGCATCTTCATGATGCATCATCTCTTGTCAAGCTGGTTAGCGAAAACTCCCTACCAAAAGAATTAATAAAATTAGGATTATATTAAATTTTGTTTTCAATTAACACATGCATACCTTTCCAATTAACACATCAACAGGGAGTTTTGCTAAATGATACCCAAGAGGTATCAATTCTTCATCACCTTCAACAACATCAACCTCATGTAATAATGAAATTGCTGAAGTAGTGGCTTCTTCTGTTGGAGGTTCAAGAGCCTAAGACCATGATTAACCACAAGATACATATTATTATTTAAGGGGGGGAAATGAATATCAACAAGATGCTTGATTATGGGTAAACGGCCATTTTACCCTTTTGTATAAAAATAATGGTAAATAGCAAATGACTGTTTATTTAAGAATTGCTATAACTCACAGTTTATTTTCAAAAATAACTATCAACTATTTTATTTATTTGTTGAGATTTATGTAATTCAAAGTCAAATATTTTATAAAGACGTTCAGATTTTTAAACATGATTATCAAGAAAAAAAAGATTCACCAATCTTATTAGTTAAGTTGGTTCAAATTGGAAGAAACGTACTTAATAAATAACTCCTAATACTACATATATGAACTTACCTTTTGTAAGAATGGCATAATTGGACCAAGAGACAGTAATAAATGGGAAGAAATACTCACCTGGTCATCAGAAGAAGGTTGTATGTGGTTGCTTTATCGGAGGAAGAAAACAAGTCGAACTGATTGATGAGTCGTTGACTATAGATGGGAAATGGAAGCGGACCAAAACAACTAAATAAGGTATTCGACCAAAATAGGGTCGGGACGCAGTCCCCGAGACGGTAACGCTGATGAGTCGCAATCGCCGGTGAAGTGAGGCGAGCTTGATGAGGTCGTCGACCGGTAGGATGAAGTGTTGCAGTCGTACTCGAGCTCGATCGTCTGGAGAATGTTGACGTGAAAAAACCCTAGTTATCGTGTGGGGGGCTTTAGGGTTGTTTTGGGATGCTAAGGGTTTGGTTAGAGGTATTAGTGGAGGGAACAAGGGATACCGAGATATGATCGATCGAAAAGGGGTTTTAAAAATGGACAAAATGTTTCTTACCAATTAACAAGCCCTAAATGATTCTTAACAACTATATTGTCGGAAATTAGGGTAGATGGGAAGAGGAGTGGATGAGAAACACTATATCTCTAGTTGTGAGCATGAGGAGTCGCAGAACCCTAATAGCTAGCTCTGCGACGTTCGTCTTTGGGAGCATGTACAAAAGCCCTAGTTGCTGGTCTCCATTTTGTGATCTTCAGGAATGAACGGAGTTTTTAAGAAAAAAGTATAGAAGAATTATATGAGTTGTCGAGGTTTATAGTAGAGATGGTATCGTGATTAGGGTTTGCAGAGAGAAGGGAAGAAGAGAACGAAGGGAGATCTTGAAGCGGGGTATTTAAAAATTTTAGAATTTTAAGAGGATTTCCTCAAGAACGCGCGTTTTGAGTAAAAAACATAAAGCGACATTCACAGAGGACGCCCATTTTAGATAAAGTGCCCTCCGTGTTTTTAAGTTTTTTTACATGAGACACTAATTTAAGGGCACGCAATAATGCGTGACCTAAATCCTTAAATTTTTTGAAGAGATGACACTTTTTTAATATCACTCTCTTTTGCGTAACATAAATCAATGAGTGTCGTGGTTTGCGCGTCGTAAAAGGGTCTTTTTCTTGTAGTGTACGAGGGCGCATGTTGTAACTTTCTTATACATATAATACACACAATTCTAATATATATATATATATATATATATATATATATATATATATATATATATATATATATATATATATATATGAATTTAAAACTCTTTAAATTTAGTTGTTTGTTATTAATTCTAATTAATTACGGGGATGCAATGTAACAATTAATAATCCCGAGGGGTTAATATTTAAATTTGTAAATCTCTATTATAAATAATATTAAATATTTAAATTCATTATTTAAATAATAAATAAGTATTCAAATTCAAATAATCATATTAAATAATATTTATCAAATTTCCAAATTTAAAACATTTTAAATTTGGTATTTATCCATATTTAACAAACCTTCAAATTTGAAAAATGAAAAAAAAAAAAAAAAAAAAAAAAGGAACCCCTACTTTGGGTTGTTCACGACGTGAGCATAAACCCCTCACGTTGTGAGCTGCGACAAAGGGTTTTTGTTTAGTTACGAATTTTCCAATTTTTCTTCTTTTATTCAATTTCAAACAAACATTTACAGAAAACATGGATGTATGGTGAACGTAATCACGAACCAATGGCTCTAATACAATTGTTGGGTTTTCTATGCATCAAATACACTCTAAACTAGGTAGCGGAAAAATTAAAACTCCAATATACCTAAGTGTACATGCAACCTATAGATCTATGGTTTCATGCGAATTACATCTACCATAGAAAACATAAAAACAAAGGAGGAAAACATACCTCTTATGTGACCCTTGATCTCCATGCTTGACATCTTATCCTCCACAAAGTTGCTTAGATGAGAGAACCCAAACCAGAATCCCTCTAATGGTATCACACCCAATGTCACCAAAGAATGGAATAAAAAATAACTAGGAGAAGGGTTAATTTCACAAACCCTAAGAGGGTTAGAAACCATCCCTAAGAGGAGAAGGAAGAAGGGTTGGCAAAACTTCTAGCCAATGTGCAAGGAAGAATGAAATCCTTAAGGCCCTATTTATAGTCTTGGATCCCTTCCTAGGTTTTGTACTCATTCCCATATGGGATGAGGAGGTAACCACAAAATTCACTCATTTTGCCATGTGGGATGGAATGATTTTCGTCCAACCCTAATTCCATAAGGGTTCTGGTACATTCCTGATTAACCAATTATCGATTAATGAATATTCAACTATTTAATTAATTAAACTGTTAATTAATTTCCAAAATATATTTCTAATTAGTTTCTAATAAATTATTAACCATAATAATTAATAATTCAATTTCTCATTTATTTATTCTACTACATATAGGTCTTGAGAGCAACCCAAAAGGACTATGTTATTAATAGAAATATTGACAATAGTTAACAACATTGACACTCTTTCCAACAAACATATGCTAAGTGAGTTAATCATAAATACAATGTTATGGAACGTACATATCCGAAATGGGTCAAACAACGCATCATATAAACATATATTCAAACACTCACATAGCATGACATCATATCCATCATATAACAATCATAATAATGCTCGATTGTTATTCTTCGTTGGAGCCTTTACTTTTAGTTACTATTCTTTATTCATCTTTATAACTAGTTATTACTTCATACACCACTATAATATTAAGATAATATTAATCTTCATTTTCATCATTTACGATTACTCTACGCTTAATCACCTTTGTAATTGTTGTTATAATGCTTCCTATTTATGGGTGTGTATATTCATCAGTAACCCCAAGGTAAGTATCTTATTTGCTACTAACACGGCCGACACGACCCAATGTACTAATTGAGGCGCAACTCACCTGTAACATTGTCCCTGATTGTTGTTGCGTTCGCTACTCCGATGTTGTGTATACTAGTACATGCATTGTCGTTAAGGATTGGTACAAGCGATACCAATTCCATCATCTTACACCTCCCAAATCTTACGTAATAAATGCACAGACGTTCCGTCAATCGTCAATACCACTCCAGTCCTAGAAACCATCGACCATCCCCGAGTGGCGTCTAGAAAAACCATTTGGCATTAGTTTTGGCTTAAGCTCTTATCCTATAGGTATCTCTCAACTTACTAGGCCATCATATAATCCAGATAGGATACACACCTATGTCTAGGTTACTATCTTTCACCTACTAGTGTATTCATCTTTTAATTAATTTATAATTAATTCATCTTTTAAGGAATTACATATGACTCCCCTTAGTAATCATGCATGTTTATTAACATCATTTACAAGCATGTTGCTTCACAAGTTCTTATGTAAACATGCAAACTATTAATTATAAGTTATAACATTTTACATCACATCTAATTTTCATATACATATAATATCTTAATAGATTATCACCTCCCTAGCATGCTTTGTTCTAAATTATCACAAACAAATATTTTCAAGAAATAATGGCATACACACATCACATAAAATCAACATAAGACCTTCTTTATAT